GCCTGTCAGTATGTGAGTCTGTGTGTGTGTGTGTGTGTGTGTGTGTGTGTGTGTGTGTGTGTGTGTGTGTGTTACCCGTGCTCCTCCTGTGCCTGGTGTGTGTGTGTGCTCTTTTCGGGTCAGGGAAGCTATGAGAGACGTCCTTGTAGTAGCTCTGTTTGGTCTGATCGATCACTTCGTTCTCTAGACAAAGACAAAACAACACACACATTCAGGCATCACACACTCACTGTTAACAAACCCATTCAGAAATAGTGCCAGAACCCTTTGTCAGACATACATTCTAAGAGCTAACTGAAAGAGAAACATGGGAGAAGTTCATTTTTCTGGCTGGTATGAATGTTCTTAGTAAACATAACGGCTATTTCCTCATTAGACTGGGGATTTTTTCTTGTTACAAAATGGACATTTGATACATACGATACTGATCTGAGTAGTTTATAGTGATTATTCCAGCCTGACTTATGACCGACAGCTTTTACCTAATAGGACAGAGACAAACCAGTCATAAACTATGACAGAAAAGGTTTAGGTTTAGTTTAGTGATTACGTAAAATGTAACAAGAGAAACGCATACCTCCACTGTTTTGCTTTACTACTGTAACTCTACTTTTGTGTGTGTGTGTGTGTGTGTGAGAGAGAGAGAGTGTATCATGATACACTGCACAAGTCAATCAAGTGTTTCAAAGTGTTCTCAGCTTCTTCAAACCATTTTAAAACTCAGCACTGCCAAACCGAGGGACAGACGCACACACTGTTCATAGGAAATAAGTCTGATTAAAAATCATGAGTGTAGTGTAAATTTCTGTGTTTGTGTGTGTGTGTGTGTGTGTGTGTAGGACAGTGGGGTAAAAAGAAAGATTCCCAGAAATCGGCATAAATGACATTTGGGCAGGAATGTTTTAACTTAATCCTGAATACCAAACCTCACACTTCCTTTTGTGATTGTGTGTATGTGTGTGTGCACTCTTGCTGCTGCGTGTGTGTGCAAGCCGTCACACACACATACACACTCCTGCCTATATTCACAATGTGCTTCTGAAACACCACAAAGTCCATCTCCGACATGTCTCCCTGTCTCTCTCTCCCTCTGACTTGCAGGAATTCCAGCATGAATTATACATAGCAACGCAGCAGCCTTCCAGCGAGCCCTGCTCTTAAACCAATAATGGGCAGCATGACAACAGCATAATAAAGCGAGCCACTTGACCCCCATCATGCTGGGGAGCTGTCACACCCGACATTTGCATCTCAATGATGCCTGGATTAATGGTGGTACTGCCCGGAGCAGCAGACATTAAAAATGAATCAACTATTTTTCACAGGCAATTCAGAAGAATAGTTTGTAGGGCAGGAATTCGGTGCTGGACTTGGGGCCTGTTTTATGCCACAGATATTTCCTCCTGTCTTACTCACTGACTCTCCATTCTCTGATTTATTACCTGGGTAATGAGAACTGGCATTAACTGTTTACTAAAGGTGAATATTTGAGTCTTTTGTGGTCATTGTATTGGTGTTTTTGCATTTGAAATCACTAAAAGACCCTTTTTCTGGTGCAGCTTGCACTTGTAGCCAACAAAGAGGCAACAAAGCTAAAAAACTAAGGTTTTTAGGGACAGAATGTATTTCCTGTTAGTGAGATGCCCTCTTAGGGTTGTCATGTGCTTGGGGTAAGCAGACAATGTTTCTTACATTTTAAGGAAAATAATAGTAATAAATGGCTTCCTCTGTTTGAAGAATTCTTTTCCCAAATATTCAGACACCAGCAGGAAGTTTTGGAAACAGAGGACAACCAAGGCCATCAACACAAACTAAAGTGTTACACATCCATAAAGCTGGGGGACGTTCAAAAAGAATGGTAAAAATCGATGGAGTAGAAGCTGATATATCCTGATTTACTCCTCAGTACTCAAAACCACGACAATGCAACCCTCTAGTTCAAAGATCCCACTCTCTGCAGTTTCCACTGGTGCTTTCCATCTTTTAGTGCCCAAGCCCAAGGCAAGAGACCCCTGCTGACATTATTACGAGTTCTTTACAAAGCTCCTTCACAACCACAGAAGACTGTATACAACTGTTTTACATGCTGACTAAGCATAACCAACATAAAATTGGATAAACACCACATTAATAAAAACATTTTCTTCACAAATCTACAGGCCATCACCTGTTCACCTTTGGCTAAAATGTAACTCAAATGTTGCCTCAGTTCCTGGTGGGTGAAAAGAGTAACAAGGGACCAATTACATCCGGTGACACATTCCAGCAGGATGAGAGAACAGCATCCTCTCACTGTGCACGGATCCAGATGCAACTAATAACCTCACTTAAGAGTCTTTGAAGCCACAGACTGGGAGGGAGGAGGCACCAGCGCATACAAACCAACATCTGCTTTGTCAGCCAGTATCTCCGTGCCCACTCTAGATTTTCAATTATTTTTCGATGTTTCTGTCAATAAAACGATAAAATAAGTTCGACACAACTACTGTCTTTATCTAAAGAAGTTCACATACATTTTATCAACGGGGTTCCCTGATAGACTAGTGTTCAGGGCGCACAGTCCCTGGCACTGAATAACTATCTGTGCATCGTGGCGCTCAACTTCAAGCGTCATATGAACTGAACATGCTCCCTAAATAAGCTATTTTTGAGAGTACCAGAGTTTTATTAAAATAAAGCGCTTTTACCTACGGAGTCTATCTCTAGCAGCCGCTGGAGGTCGCTAATACTGCGGATCTCACTGCGGGACAGTCGATCCAACAACTCCTGGGGGAGAGGAGACTCCTGTGGAGAGAAAGACAACGAGAAAGATACGCGGATAAAAACGGCTTCTGTCGGCGCGCAACACGCCCCTGACACATGCATCCTGATAGCAAACTCAGTGATTCAATACCAGCCGGCGTGTTCCATTTACAAAATAGATTAGCAGTAACAACTGCGTCAAGAACAGATGAAACATTTGCACATAGTCACGCAGACACTTGGTTGTGCCGCCGTTACTTTTTGTTTCTCTACGAGTTATGATAAATGTGTTGAGTTGCAAAAAATGTCTTAACAAAACTTGCTCCAACCATCAACAAATACCAGCCATCACATATTTCCACAGGTTTCCCTCAGCAGCGGCGCGTAACAGGCAGAGGCAGCCGGCGAGGAGGTGGTATACTGCGGCTCTCATCTTCTGTCAGGTCTGCTGCAGGGGCACCAGGACGAAGGGGAGGCACACTGCAGGAGCCGGACTGTCGCTCCCTGCTCCGGGGAGCCCAGAATCATCCCTCGGGAGAACCGGCCACCACCTTCATTTACATGATCTTAAAACTTCTGTTTGGAATCCGAGTGAAGCAAATATTTGACTTGGTTTTACTCCTGCATCCAGTGCAAATCACTGCAGGTGAGAGAGGGGTTGATTTTCAAAATAATACAAAAGTGATCTACAACATGTTTAAGGCAACGTTTCGAGGAAAACGTTCACAGTTGCTCAGTTTTATCTCCGACAGTTTGCAGCATAAAGCTAAACAATCATGATGTCCAGCAGCTCTTCGTTTTGGCATAAAACAGGTGTCCGGCAAAAGTACAACTTTTTTTACATTCATACATCCAACAATATCCGTTATTTTGTCCTCAGTGGGTTGTAATCCATTCAAAATCACTCATTTGTGCGTCCTGCAGCGGGCGGTTGAGCAGTCTGGCACTTTATGCATGTGGTCAAATCATCCAAACATGTTAAATCCTTTTAATTGAAGTTTCCAGAAATGGCCAATAGAGTCCTGGACGCCAGGAGGAACAAGCAAATGGCTTGAACAAACGAAACAAGAGAAATATCTCCGCTGCAGCCAAGAGGAGTTTTGATGTCACTTCCCTAC